CACATATTGTGTAAATTGACCTTAGAATGATCCTAATTATGTAGGTAAATATTTTTCGAATATAGAACGAACGTAATTTATAAAAAATTGAAAAAGGAAAAAGGACAATGATTATGAAATAGAAGGGGGATGTGTGAAATCCACCAATTATAAGTATAACTTTACATCAATTATAAGTATAACTTACACGACATACATTTTGTTTCTAATAACCCTATTCAGTAACTTTTAACGACTGTAACGATCGTTATAGTTATTAAGAGTTATTGAATAGGGTTATATATTTAGTTAATTATATCATTAAAAGTCACATTTAAGGTCTTCAAACTAGACTGAAGTAACAAAATTAATACCAATATATTTCTCAAAATTACATAAAGAGTACACACCTGTAAAACTATTTGCAAAACTGTAATTTTTACGACAATGCAGTAACACTGTAATGACCAGTGATTATATTATGTTTGCAGAATGTGAACAAGTAATTTTGATGGTCCTCAGATTGTAGTACAAATTATATAGGATATCGCATATTCCACGATTTATCTATTCCATAACCGTTCCCTGTCTTCCATTCCTTCCTCTGTTCTGAACATAGGTTAAAGATACGTAGAAAATATGATTGACTTGCACTACTGTCAGAGAAAATATAAAGTTCAGTATCTGAATTGAATAATCACACGAATGTTATCAAATAGTTTCAGTTTGCAGTAACGATAGAATTTATAAACAAAGATAAACGAGATTTTTAAATCAATTTTTAAAGGGTTGTATCCACATATTCACCATGCTTTCTACCATCACTTTTGCTCGTGAATTCGTAGCAAAGAAACTTTGTATATTCGAGACTGACAATCTGGAGCTGATTCCATTGGATAAACATGACGTATCCTATCGACGTAATTCTACAATGGCTGCTATCGTTTATTCGCGCTACTCTAACAGAATTTGCAAATTTTACTCGTAAAAACGCTCGGTATTCAGCGGCAGTAGTCAATCTCGTCCCGTTGAGTAAACATTATTTCTGTCGGTTTCATCGCTCTGTCAGATTCGGCCTCATTCGGAAACGACGACGTTTCCAGTTGGATGATTTTTTTTTTTTTTTTTAGTTGCCTTGGCGTTAAGAATGTAAATGGAATTCGAGATTCCCAGTCGATCGGTGAACGCGTGCTCATCGATAACGTATATGCAAGCGTGTTCCACGTTGCACAGGTGGCCGTCACGCACGTTCGACGCATCTTCGTGTTCCCTCCCGATCGCATATTGCGTGCAACCAGACTCGGGTGCGTTCGGACGGACGCATGAATGTCCGATACGCGCTTTGAGGGACCGCCGCGACCACGGCAGGAACGCATCGCGAGGAGATAATCGCAGGTTGACGTGTCCCGGAGGTAAATAGAGTGTATAATCGCGGCGGCACAACGGCGAAGGCGACGGCGGGAGGCCGACGGTGAAATTCGCAGTCCCGTCCGTGATGGGATTTGACGGTGTTGCCGTAGATTCCGCACGTCGCGGCTTGCTGCCTCGGATAAACTGTGACACGACACACTCTGCACCGGACGCCTTTTTAACGCCGTAAAGCCGTCGCACTAACAGATTTCGTTTTAACGAAACGCGAACGCTTTCCTCCGCGATTGCGTTAATTTCACGTTGAGGGGTGCTTAAAACTTGACGAAAAAAGGCGGTATTCCAAATAATAGATTAAAATATTAATCGTAAGATACTTATAGCGTGAAATGGAATATTCGTGTCATATATACAAAGACAAATGTATGTACATTTCAGTTGCTACAGGTGCTGAGAAAAGTTATGTCTAAATTGAAGAAATCTTTCGTTGACTTTTTTTTTTTTAAATTAAAGTGAAAATATCTTGGAGGAAAATAAAAATTTACTTGATTTCAGAAAATTTTATTTGATTTCAAGAAATGACGTTCCACTCAAAGGAACTTTTCTTTAACTGTATAGTAATACACAAATTTCTTTGATTCGAAGAAACTTTGCTTTGTGAAGTGTATATTTCCTTTTTAATTCTATAGATTTCACTGTACTTTCACGTTTTCTTCCCTCCCCTGATCTGTCTACAGTGGTTATATAAAATATTCCTTTTGGCTTTTATCGTAATTGTTTTCGTGTAATCGATGGTATCCAATTCCGGTATTTTGGTTAGGTAAGATAGTGTTAACAAGCTTTACATAAGCAACGATGCAAGCAACTACCAATCATGGGCGACATCAAAGAGAATCCGTGTTCTCCACTCTGATCTATCGTGGTAGAACCACCCGCGTGTATCGAACTAGACCAATAAAGCAACATCGAAGGGCTACGCTATTACGTTGCATGTCGACGTGAATAAGTGATTTTAGCAAATCGAAGAAACACTATAAGAAACAAATGAGCGTTTCGTAAAATTGCGTCGCGCGAATCAAAAATGAATTCTTAATAAAATAACAGGATCTAAAAACACACGGATATAAAAATAGAAATTTTATTATTATTTTGAAAATTCCTAAATATAGTAGAAATTTGTGAATAATTGGAGAATCTTTTAATTTATTTTAATTAAAATTTATTCTTTTTGCAATAATTAACTAATCATTACGTATAAATAATACCGTAAAAATGTACACTTTCGTCAACAAATATCTTCTTTTATTCGAAGGTATCCTACTATACTTGTTTATTTGCAAGGTCACAAATAGTTCATAAACAGTTATGTAAACACGCCGTTGCTTCGAAAATGTTTCGTTAGACGCATCATGTACGATCGTTTCGCTCTTAATATAACGATACCTTTTAGATTCCAACGATTCTCATTAGTAAACATTGCATAAGCAATTCGCAAGCAATTGATGAAGCATCAAAGAGAATTTGTGATTTTCGGACCCATCGTAATGACCCTCTGGAATATTTCACTTAACATATCCACTAAGCAACGCCCAAGGGGACCACGCTGTCTCTCTTTCTCTCTCGCTTTTATCCTCTCGGCCGACGGCCGTAAGGCAACGCTGGTCCCGCGAGAGCGCTCGGGGGATGTTTCTGACCGCCAATCAGCCGGTGGGCGATAATCGCAGCTCGGTCACGTCAGTTAAAATCGCTGTCAATCCTGGCGGGTGACTCAAAGGCGAACTTTCCGCGTTGCGGTTGCTGCGTTCGATGTAATAGCAGCAGGGGGTGCAGCGGGGACGAGTTACCCGCCAATCCTATGCGCGCGTCCATGTCCATGCCGCTTTGCTCGGGGGGGTACAATGGAGCAGCGTGCCTGTTTCCCAGGGGGAATATCAGAGAAGAGAAGCGCGCGCTCTCTCCTCTACTGACCGGTCGACCCACCCCATTGGCCGCCGGTGAGAGAGCACTTCCTGGTAGCCTCGGCCCTCGCCCGCAACCAGCCGCAGGCCACAAGCCTCAGTTCCTGCAAGCCTCTAACGTCACGCTACTCTCCAGGTCTGACCTCCTGCCGACAGCGTAATTGTTTAGAAACCCCTTGATCTGTAATTTCAGCACATCCAATCATCCTCTTCTTCCGCGCGCGAAACATCGTTAACGCAATCCTACCACCGTCGTACAATCGTCGTTACATACATGGCGGCGTCTTCTCTCGCTCTCGCTCTCTCTCTCTCTCTCCCTCCCCCCCCCCCTCTCTCTCTCTCTCTCTCTCTCTCTCTCTCTCTCTCTCTCCCTTTTCGTTGGGCGCGCACCCTAAGTACTTGATTGCTCTCGCGCGTGCATAACGTGTGTTTCGCACGCTTCAACTCTATGACGATTTGCTTCGCGAAAGGAGATACGCGAGGAATCGGTTACGATGCACCCGGAGAAGCTTACAGATTTTGAATGACTGACAACGGAAGACGAGAAACGTGCATCGTACAGAACAAATGCATCGCTGATTATTACGCTCGCGATTAAATATTAAATTTCAATTTGCGCAAATAGATATATTGCTGATTATTTTCTCAATAACTTTACATAACTTTTTTAGAATTTTTTTAAAATGGAAATTACTATTAAAACTATACGTTGTGTGTGGAATAATTTTTTAAAAATTGCGAAAACGTTATGCAAAACAATTTTTTATATTTTTTTTTGTGCTCACGGTGACAACAATGACGACTGTTAAAAAAATTGAATATATTGCACAATAGTGTAGAGGTTCAGTATCAAATTTTTACACTTGAAAATAAAATAAAATATGTACATGAATTACAAACATTTTCCATTATCACACGTTCTCTCTACTCTCTCTTCCTGTCCCTCTCTCTCTCTCTCACTCTCTCTCTCTCTCTTTTGATTTTTTAAAAATAAAACAGTAAAACCAACGAGAGTTTTCACATTTCTAGCAATGACAGATTTATTCTACAGGTGGTTTGAAATTTAGGCGAATTTTGGTGAAATATATATTTTCCGAGATCTGACAGGAAGGAGAGAGAGAGAGAGAGAGAGAGAGAGAGAGAGAGAGAGAGAGAGAGAGAAGAGTTCCTGTCCGACCAGAGCATGACATCAAATTCTTTCTGACGGAAATAGTTTCTCGGAGTACACGGCAGAAACTTCAGCCTCGTCCCTTTCATTGGAAAATGTGTACAACGTGTGACTTTTACTCAAGTCAACCGCATGTTACATGCGACATATACTTCACATCCACCGCTCTCTCAGGTTCATGAAATTCTTCAAAAAGTCAGGTATGCATGATCGTCGGAGCAAATTCATAGGAATGCGCGTCCGTTTCGTTTTTAAACTTCTAAATTGTTCATAATTTAAAATTATGCATTCTTTAATCTAAAACTTCGCTTTGTGCGAAATTTATGACTCTCAATTTTCAATAATATGAAGTATAATACTATATTCACATTGCATTGCGTAAAAATATTTAATAACTTTTACTTACGTTACTCTTAAATTGGATTAAATTTTAAATTTTTTATCCTATCCGCTATGTGCAGACGAGTTATTTTGAAATTTAAATATACATTAATATTCGTAAAAAGTAAAGATATAAAGCAACTTACGATATCCTCCAGTTTTGAGCATCCTTTCCTGGCGGTGCACACCAAGGCGACGATGACTCCACCTCCAAACATAAGTAGGAGAAACACTGCCAATTTCCAACCGTGATCTCTTTGCGGAATAAGTTTCTTGGCCGCCGGTAACCTGGCGACTTCCGCCGTAGAAACGCCGACGCGAGACGCCCTCACGAGGATCGTCCTAAGGCGTCTCGACGCCTTCTCACAGGCCATCTTCGTTGGATTGCTCTTCGAGGCCGATCTCGATTTCACGTGCACGTGATCCATATCTCTGGTATTCTCTCACCGTGTTTTAGCGTTCTCCAAGCAAATTACACGCGTGAACTCGCTCGATCCTCTTGCGAAGGAGATATTCTAAAGCTCCCCAGCTGCTTGCAGCCCGTCCAAGTTCCGAGCAGCGCACGAACAGACATCGGACGAAGTATCGGAGTATCGGTAATGTAACCGCGGAAATGGACTCTGTCCGCGTGCGACGATCACAATATCTACTTCGGATACGGGATTTACCGAACTCACGGACGCTACAATCTACGCGAGTATTCAAATATCGCGCGGTCCATTTCGCGATTGAATTCCTTCGTGTCGAACACGTCGGGCAACGTCTCTTCGGAATTCCGCCGAACCAGGAGGTTTTAACGATTCACCGCACTGCGTCACTCTCTCTCGCGTCACTTACTTTGCGAATATTAAAGACCATAGAATTACACAAAGGAATATCATTTATCATTATCTCCGTCTCTTCAATCTGATTTCACAATCAGCCCGATTATTATTAATACTTCATTCTTCTATTTTAATTTTAAAAATTGCGACTTTTTTTTGTGTACTCCGTATAATTATTTTATTCGAAATTGATGTTATTCGCCGCTTTTTGTGCGGCTATCGAACTATTCGGTAAATTCGAAACGTTGCCGTCCTCGCCGTTCTTATGTGGACTCTTCCACGAGTTTTATGACGTTACCGGACGATCCCGTGCTATCACGGGAGCACTACATGCACCCTCACCCTGTAAACCGCGAACGTAACGCGTCCCAAGTCGTTATACTTTTATGCCCGCGACGTGGAAAGACGTGAAACGACGATGGGACTTGGACGAGAATCCAGGAGAGACGAACAGCAATGGGAATTGCCGGCCAAATAGAGAGGATTGCCGCAGAGAGGTGTTATATCTTCCCGGATCTTACTATTTACCGAATGATACTTGCGACTTACCCTTCGCTGCCTCGATCCGTCTTAGCTTTTGACCACCGTCAATTTTTCACGCGCTTACACAATGTTGCGTTGTTTAAAGGGCATTACTTATCCGCTTTTGTCAAGACAGAGTAGGTAATATTTTAAATGAGATTTTGGGAAGATCGATGATGGAGATTTCGGATTAAATTGGTCAGTACTACTATCTACTTCTCTTCGTCTTCGCCTTTTGGGTTGATCCAAAGAGAATTTCACCCGATGCGACTTGCCTTCTTGAGTTGGCGAATCTCTCGCTCCCGTTCATGGGTCGAGGAGGGGGACTGCTTGTTCGCTGATCGAGCGACTAACGTGAGATCCGAGCTCTCATGAAGACACGATTAATCTTACAGTACGGTCATTTCGCCATGACCCAATGACCGGAAGGAAAATTAATTCTCCTCGATCGAACAGGCGCTCAGACGACGGCCTCATATTCTTCCAGCAGGATCCTCGTTCGTGGCGCCGTCAATTTTGCTTCGATTTTACCGTTCGACGCGCACCACTCCATCCGTTTCTGTACAGCGTCGCGTATATGGTCGACGATGCTTTTATTCGCGAGATATTGGCACTTTCACGGTTTATCCACCAGACACCTTTTATGACCGAAGATGAGTCCTCAATGGCCAAACGCTGCGCCTCTTCCAGTTGTCTGCCGTTTCCTCGTGTGTGATATCTGTGAATCAACAGATACAATTCTGTAGTACCGTTCTATGCTTTTCACCATTCCACCTCTACGTGCAAGACTTGCGAATTATGCTCAGTAAAATTTATTATGTCAGCGCCGAAGCACCGAACTACTGAATTCGCTGAATTATTGAAATAAAGTGAATTTCCAATTTCATGTTAGAAAGATTAAAAAACTGTTATTTTCTCATTACTTTGAGGATCACTCTCCAATCTGCGAAATCGCTGCGAGTATCAAAACAATACTACTGACAGCGCAATAAATATAGCGCGACTCCGTCGCCATAAAATTCAGCTTGGAAAACAGACAAAAAGTGGGCCGACCAAGTTCGGCAAGTTTCCCAAACTACGATCGACGATCGCGATCCGATACCGATACTTACCGATCGACGTATAATATATCTCGAAGTGGATGGACTTCGAGTGCATTAAAGATGGAAGCAATATCGGAGATGGGATTATTCCACGCGCGGCCGGTGATGCTACGACGAAAAATACTCGTCGCCGTCGCGGAGTGTAACGAATGGTTCATCACAAGGACTGTGTCCGAGGATTAAGTGAGAATTATCCTGGTTTCCACTTCTCGAATTCCATCCGCCTCACCCCGTCAATCCGCGTATACGCATAACGAACAAACGGCTTCTTCTTTTCTGCTAACTCTTTCCCGCTTAATCTCAAACTCGTTGGTAATTGCATTATTATACGTCTGACGGAAAGCACGCTTCTTTTCGCAGCACGTTTCTTGTCACGTACGAAATATATCGTTTCTTG